ACACTGATGACATTACAATACCCTACTATAGAGTAACAGAGGTGGCCACTGATCCATTGATGGTTGGATACATTTTCTGCTAGTTTTGGCTCATACATTGACGCTCATATCTACTCTTCATTAACACCTATAATCTTTCATCACACTAACTGCCAACAGTGTGTCTCCAAACATAGTTTGATAATCACTTAGCAAAAAACCACATCTTACTCTGAACGCAGCGCTTTCAGCAAGTGTGGACTCTGTTAGTGGCTGTGCTGAGTGTCTGAGATGACACCGCTGTAATGCTTAAGCTTATGAAATGTCTTCATTTCTTTAAGTTTTTGTATGTGTGGGAATACTAATCAACATCAATCATTGCTAAGCACAGTAGGCTATACAGTACAAGGGACACAAAGGCCACCTCTGTTCACTAATTTTAAGTAGTATTCTAAATATGACTGCAAGAATCTCTGCATTAAAGGGATAATTCTGGTTTATTACAAATTGTCTAGTAGTTGTGAAGCTGCTGTTCAAACATAAGTTATTAAATCTGAAATGATTGCTGGGCTATACTGTACCTCGTATGTATGCCAGAAATAATAACAAAAACAAACACTCGAGTAAAGTGTGGGGACATTATTTCCTTATAGAGATGAAGATATTTGTGAACTTGTTTTGCTAAATTGTCAATAAATTAAGCAACATAAATTCAAAAAAAAATACTGTGAGATTAGATAGATTGCTTTAAATATATTAGTTCCACTTCATTCAAACATGATTTTTTTTTTAAGAGGAAGACCTAAGACTCAAAGTACTAGCTTATCCAGGAACACTGACATTGCCACATAAGTCTGGCACATTAAAAAACACAACCAGCCAGGCTGGAAACAAACTTTATCCTAATTATTTAAAGTACTTCATTTGAAGGTGAAACTGAAAATGAGCACTCTGAAATTGCAATAATCATCCCTACACAACTACAGTAAATGCTGTAGGTCAAAGTTGAAGTGGGTCTGTAAAATGTGTAAAATTGAAACAGTATAACCAGGGAGATAAATTGGGCCAGAGCCCACTGGAGGTGAGCTTGAAACATCCACTTTCATACAGTCTCACACTGAACAAACAAAATACCAATGTTGTGTCCTTTTCTTTTGCTTTATCAATATCTACAGCTAGCCCCTAACAATAGCCAAGAGAAAAGTTGATTCTGAAAACAGAGCCTTTCAAAACCGGTGGGAGGCTGAGTATATGTTTACTGACATAAACCTGTGTGTCTTATTTGTGGAGCTAATGTGGCTGTAATTAAGGAATATAACCTAAGACGGCATTGCGAGACAAAACATCAGGACAAGCTGGAAAATGTGAATGCAGAGCAGAAGCTACAGAAGGTAGAGGAGTTGAAGAGGAATCTGACATCACAGCAGACGTTTTCACCAATGCAAAATCACACAGTGAAGCTGCTGTGAAAGCAAGTTTTATTGCGGCAGAGGAGATAGCCAAATCAGCTCAGCCATTTACCGAGAGAGAGTTTCTGACGAGCTGCATGATGAAAGTGTGCGACATCTTGTGTCCAGACAAAAAGCAGGTGTTTGCAAATGTAAGCCTTAGCAGAAATATGGTTGCTGATTTTAAGTTCAAGTCTATTTATTTTGGAATAATATTGTATCCTGTCTGTTTCAATTCATATTTATGTTCAAAAAACATTTAGTTTTAGTCTGTTCAATAAATGTTTATCCTGTTCGGCCCACAACCTAAAGTGTGCTTTGAGTTTTGGCCCCCTGTGCGATTGAGTTTGACACCCCTGATCTATATCAACTATGTCCTACTGAAAAAATTGTACCAATTAACACTATTGATAGTGTGGGCTGCAACAAACCCTAACCACACCCCAACCTTATTTATAAGTGCTCCCTTCTTCACAAATCTTGATTCAACTCCTAAATGTAATAGTACTTGTAATAAAGAGCCATTCCTTTTCCTTGATATCCATCCATACTTTCCTCTGATGTCATCTGTCCAATTCTTTGTAATCTCTCCTGTCTGAAACAATAGATAAGAAAGAAAGAAAGTCACTTTCGGCTTTTCCCGTTTAGAGGTCACCACAGCAAATCGTCACACTGACGACTCGCATGTTGACATTTGGCACGTGTTTTACGCTGGATGCCCTTCCTGACGCAAACCTGATTCGAACCCGGGACACAGCGGCGAGAGCACTGCGCCTTAACTACTAGCCTACCAAGGATGGCTCCTGTCTGAAACAATATATGTTAAACAAAAAATTATATTTTTAAAAATGTACCTTCCTTATCAAAGCATACACCCATCAGCCATAACATTATGACCGCTGAAGTGAATAACATTGATTATTTCATTACAATAGCATCTGTGTGGGGTATATTAAGTAGCAAGTAACATTCAGTCTTCGAAGTTGATGTAAGGACAACCAGTGAAATGGTGAAAAGGTTATGGATACCCAAAACTCACTAATGATGAGGTTGGCCTATTGTAGATGAATATTTTAGAATTCATTTATCCTTTTCAAAAGATTTCAATTTGTTTCAATCTTAGTGAAAATGGTTGAAAATGAGAAATACTGTACATTGGTCTCCATGAAAAGAAACGTTCAGTGGCTATAGTGGTGATATCACACCTAGAGTGGAGAGGCTGTCAAAAAATCATCTCTAACTTGTCCTCATGACCACAGTTTTCACTCTAACCTTATTACTAAATTATAGACAAAGTTGTGCTCTTTTTGACAATATAACTATGATGTGCTGTGAGCCACAGAGTGACAACAGTGACATGGGTGCCAACCAACTGCGACACTGACTTCTAAGTACACAGCATTAGGCAAGTGGTTATACTGTTATGGCAGATTGGTGTATAGAATGAAGCATGCAAGATACTGTTTGCTTGTGTTTGTGTTCCACAGCTATTTTTGTGGTAAAATGATTTTGCAATTGTTATTATGACTTGAAATTAGTTTTTCTTACCTATGCAACAAACACAGAAATGGAGGTTTTTGTATTTTTTTATATGAAATTAAAAATTATGGCATACCACAAAAATAAGACCATTGTAATAATAATAATAATAAACCAGAATTAGCCTTTACAGATCTCCCCTGTGATATTGTGTTTTCTGTTATCAAAATGTATAATTTTCCAACATCCGCAAAGTATTCTGTATCATCAGTGTGAGGTTAATACTATTCACTTCTCCACCTGGGTCCAAATTTGTAGGGGGCTAAACCATCACAACAAATAAAATGGAATGGAAACATTTAAAAATGGCTAAGGATACAAAACATGACAAACACAAAAATGAGAATGTGACATGGCATGAATGTGAAAACCATGAAGGGATGAGATGGCATAAAGGGAAATGAAGTGATGGGTAGGTGCTGTGGATGGATATGTGTTATTTTCAGGACTTATTTCACATACAGACATTTATCACTTACAGGTGCAGCTCAATAAATTAGAATATTGCGGAAAAGTTCATTAATTTCGGTAATTCAACTCAAATAATGAAACTCGTGTATTATATAAATTCAGTACACACAGCCTGAAGTAGTTTAAGCTGTTGGGTCTTTTAATTGTGATAATTTTGCTCACATTTAACAAAAACCCACTAATTCACTATCTCAATAAATTAGAATATGGTGACATGCCACTCAGCTAGTCAACTCAAAACACCTGCAAAGGTGTCCTGAGCCTTCAAAATGGTCACTCAGTTTGGTTCACTAGGCTACACAAGCATGGGGAAGACTGCTGATCTGACAGTTGTCCAGAAGACAATCATCGACACCCTTCACCAGGAGGGTAAGCCACAAACATTCATTGTCAAAGAAACTGGCTGTTCACAGAGTGCTGTATCCAAGCATGTTAACAGAAAGTTGAGTGGTAGGAAAAAGATGCACAACCAACTGAGAGAACCGAAGCCTTGAGAGGCGTCTCAGGCAAAATCGATTCAAGAATGTGGGTGAACTTCACAAGGAATGGACTGAGGCTGGGGTCAAGGAATCAAGGGCCACCACACACCATTTCAAGCAATTTGGCTACAGTTGTCGTATTCCATTCCATTCCTATTCCTCTTGTCAAGCCACTCCTGAGCCACAGACAATGTCAGAGGTGTCTTAGCTGGACTAAGGAGAAGAAGAACTGGACTGTTGCCCAGTGGTCCAAAGTCCTCTTTTCAGATGAGAGCAAGTTTTGTATTTCATTTGGAAACCAAGGTCCTAGAGTCTGGAGGAAGGGTAGAGAAGCTCATAGCCCAAGTTGTTTGAAGTCCAGTATTACGTTTCCACAGTCTGTGGCGGTTTGGGGTGCAATATCATCTGCTGGCGTTGGTCCACTGTGCTTTTTGCAAACCACAGTCACTGCACCCGTTTACCAAAAAATTTGAGAGAACTTCATACTTCCTTCTGCTGGCCAGCTTTATAAAGATGCTGATTTCATTTTCCAGCAGAATTTGGCACCTGCCCTCACTGCCAAAAACACCAAAAGTTGGTTAAATGGCCATGGTGTTGTGTGCTTGACTGGCCAGCAAACTCACCAGACCTGAACCCCATAGAGAATCTATGGGGTATTGTCAAGAGGAAAATGAGAAATGAGAGACCAAATAATGCAGATGAGCTGAAGGCCACTGTCAAAGAAACCTGGGCTTCCATACCACCTCAGCAGTGCCACAGACTGATCACCTCCATGCCATGCCGAATTGAGGCAGTAATTAAAGAAAAGGGAGCCCCCTACAAAGTATTGAAAAGAACATACTTTCTAGAAGGCCAACAATTCACTAAAAATGTTTTTTATAGGTCTTATCAGGTATTCTAATTTATTGAGATAGTGAATTGGTGGGTTTTTGTTAAATGTGAGCAAAATCATCACAGTTAAAAGACCCAACAGCTTAAACTACTTCATTCTGTGTGTACTGAATATATATAATACATGCTTTTCACTATTTGAGTTGAATTACCGAAATAAATGGACTTTTCCACAATATTCTAATTTATTGAGCTGCACCTGTATACTTCCAGTGCTTGCCTTGCTCTTGTGTCTTGGTGTGACAATCGTGTGAGGTGGTGCATAAAGACATATCTGTGCAACAGCCATACTTGTGTCACTCCATGTATACTATATGTATGTACATGTGCAGTGGTGTCACAACAATCCAAGTTGGCATGACTTTCATACCACTGCTAAAGGTGGTTTTTCAATCATCATCAAATATGTTTTTGCCAGCTGACATTTCATCTAAAGCAAGATGGACTGAAATCTTAAAGACTATAATATGGTCATTAAAGAATTGTGATCTTGCATGTAAACATATAATGACAGGACTGTTTCAAATGATGTTATACATATTTTTGGTAATTTCACATTTGTTAGGTTTGGCTGTCAGCAAGGCTGTTATCAATAATTCTCCAATATGCTTGTTAGAGTTATCAGTTAGGATCTTTTTTTAAAAATACATTTAATTTCAGTCAGAGGTTTGGAACCAGTTTCCAGTGGCCCTTAGCTCTTTAAAGCCCTTCACGAATTGAATCCCTTTCCATTTAATTTATAAACTGTTACCAAGAAGAAGAGTTTCATCTAAAGACAGTGATTAACATCTAAAATCCTCTTCTCCACATACTATAAAGCTGCCTGCGACATACATGAACATTATTTAATTTCAGTTGCTGTGGCATCACAATGATACTTGGGGAAATTTTTTATTTTTGAAGCCTTTAGTTTGGTTTGATTGACCACATTTTAGCTGCAGCACCAGTAAACTGCACTGGCCTTTTTCTAGGAGAAGAGGGTATAATTAGTATATAAAGCTGAATGATGACATTGCATAGTCAGCAGTTACTGGTGCTTGGAAAACCAAGCATTATTAAACAAACTAAAGGCAAGCTGTAACTTGGACTTCTATTTATGTAAATCTCTGCATACAAGCCTCATCTATTTTGTTACTGACATTAAGCAGTGTGAACCTACAGTATGTTAACCTGATACTGCAATACTTCAGCTAATTAGCATTGGTATCAAAGTCACATTTTTGGTATCATGACAGCACTGCTCATGTATGTTGTGTATGCATTAAATTAGCATTGAATTGTTCTGTACCTCTATTCTCCAACAACCATTCCTGACTGTGACTGTATGAAAACACTGCTTGAAGTATAGAAGTGAATGAAAAAGAACAGTTGCAGTTTGACTGTATGTATGCCCAAGTCCACTGTGTGTGTATGTATACGTGCATTTGCAAGAAGAGTGTTCATGATGAGCTGTAAGGGCTTCTAGCTGCATTTGCAGGACTTGACCTTCATATTTGAGAGCTGCTCTATTCTGGGGGTCTTGCCAATGTAGTAGAGGATGGTGAGGGGCTCCAGGTCCTGGGAGACGCAACAGGGTGATGCCGATGCTTCAGGGTTGATAGTGTTATACAAGCCTAACACCTGGAACACAAATATCAGAGATGATATGAAGAAAATATGACCTAAAGTAAAGTGTAACGCACCCCAATTACTGACCTGCTAGTTCAGATTCCACAGACCGTTTAACCTTTGACCCTCTCCCTTTCTAAAGTACCTTGGAATGCTGGGTGTCGGCGCTCCACAGATAAGGACATGCCCCAGCACAGAAGTTGGCCTCATACCCCTTTGGCTCATGGATCCACCTCCAACCCAGGTCCTTCTTAAAATCAATGTAGAGTGACCGTAAACAGCAGTTGTCCTGAACATTTCTACAAAAAAATGAGAGGTCACAGTAGTAGTATAGGTAGGTGAAGAGTCTGGCAATACTGCAACCTTTACTTTACAGTGCTGAGGCTTGGAGATACCAGTTAGTAAGTCGTAAACCATATATTATACTAGTACATTTTGCCCTCTTATTTAAAGGATTATTCCGGTTTATTGTTGATTCATATTTTTTATAACTGTGGTCACCCTTTTCTGTAATAAGAACACTGTGCTCAAGTTATTTGTTGAGATGAGGAAATAGTCATTAAAAGTAACAGGCACTATGACTCTGGTAATAGTTTTTATTAATTCTTTGCCAGCTGTAGTTGTGTGGGATAGCAACCCCAGTTTTGGTTCAAATAGAATTGTTGGCATCAAAGATATTTTCACATCATGTCATCCAGTGCTATGGACTAATGCAAGGCGTTAGCTAACTCTATGCTCTTCCTTACTTAAAGTACAATACAGTTCTTCTTCTTCTTCTTCTTTCGGCTGTTCCCGTTAGGGGATAGCCACAACGAATCATCTGTTTCCACCTAACTCTATCCTTGGCATCCTCTACTCTCGCCCCAAATAACTTCATGTCCTCTTTTAGCACATCCATATACAGTATCTCCTCTTTGGCCTCCCTCTTGACCTCTTGCCTGGCAGCTCCATCTGAAACTTCCTTCTACCAATATAACCACTATCCCTCCTCTGCACATGTCCAAACCATCTCAATCTGGCCTCTCTGACCTTATCACCAAAACAGCCGACCTGAGCTGTCCCTCTGATGTGCTCATTCCTAATCCTGTCCATCCTGGTCACTCCTAAAGAGAACCTCAATATCCTCATCTCTGTGTAGTGGTTAGAAATAAACCAGATTCCAGAAGTAATATGTAATAGAACAGTATGTAGTTCATATTTAGATAATACTTGTGTTAGTTGTTAAATATATGTGAAAGTAGGGCTTCCAGCTGTGTTTCAGAATATGTAAGCATGCACAAGTAAAATCAGCAAAAGCTTGTTTTATTGCAAAAACTACAACTGAGCTGAGTTATACTGTGGTAATAGCACAGTTTAATTAGTTTTGGGTTTTTTTTTCTCAAGGGATAAAATCTAATCCTAATCCAATCAAATCCATGCATCTTTCATAGCAGCCCGGCCTCTTATGAAAATGTAGAATAGCCGGTCCACAGTGTAAAATGTAGTTGTCATGGCCGGAGCCATGAAGACGCGGCCATGTGCCAGCTACCCACACACACCTTCTTCCGAGCATTGTCTAAACTGTCCAGTAGATGACCTTCTAGGTCACATTGACCTAGCGCACATTTCCTTTTTCTAAACCTGAACAGAGCACACGAACAGTTCACATAAGGCTACAGCTACAATTGTTAATTAAATGATCCTTTTTTTTCCAGCACCCTAGAGATATTGTTCAAGTACTGTAAATCTTTTCTTACATTAGCAATTTCATTGTTTAATTTACAAATGATGTGACTTGAGATTTGACATTTATTCATGTATTGTACAAAAACATCAAACAGCACTTTCATTAGAAATAACTTTTTACTTGTTTACACCCTCAGAGTGTTTCTAATAGCATTTTGTCAGCTACTACCAGATTCACGTCTGCTCAACGAGACCGTCCTCCTGTAAAATAACACTAACATCATTACTAATACTGGTGTAAATAACTTGCTTTAAATGTTTGCAGGATACAGTGATGTTGTTTTTACATGTCTGAAGTTTATGTGATAGTGAAACAAGCCTCTAAGGATTGACAGAGAAAAGGTTATAAGTGGTAGACAATGGATTGAACAGCAGAGGTCTGTCTTATTTGTGGATTCTCACTCAAAGTGCTTTCTGTATGTGAATAAGTGTGGACTTTGATGTGTGTTTAAACATGTGCATTTATATATTTTTGGTGTTGAGTAGTGACTGATATGTGTGTCTGAAGTTAGGGACAGAGGGAGTGATTGAGAATTGTGTGTATGGCAATTTCTTGTTGTTTTTGTGTCAATTTCATGTGTTTTCAGACTGTTTACTGCCGAGGTGAGTATAAAGCTTATTTTCTATTTTTGTGAAACGATGAAAATGTGGGGAGTAATTCTCCCCTTCTTTGCTTCGTTTGTGTGTGTTCTGCTACCTACTTCCTGTAGGACGTGTGTGAGCTGCTCACTCTGTGAGTGTGTGTGTGTGTGTGAGAAGGTATAGCATTTATTAACATTGTGTAAATAGGTATATGTGTATGATTGTGCCGTGTATGGTTGATGCTCTAAGGAAAATAGCGGAAGAATACAGCCTCTTGGGATTGGACGAGATAAAATACAATTGATAGGCAATAGGATTGAATAGTGAACAGCATGAAATTATGAGTTATGAGATATAAAATTGCCTGGATTGGATAAAATATTGGTAGAATTGAGGCTGTGGAGCAGAGTCTGACCTGCAGGGGGGGTCTGCAGCAGGATTTGGCTTACATAACTCAACTTGGATTGGAAGTTAGAAAGCTGTTGTTATAAGTTAGGATTGGCTTTGTAAACTATGTAGTAAGTTGTTGAAATTAGGAGTAATGTTTCTGCAGTGCAGGCAGACTTCTGCGCCCCTGCGGTTTAGGATTGGCAGCAAAGTGATTAAGTGATTAAGTTACTCCATTATTCTGAGATAAAAAAAACTGAGTGTGACCGCAGGGTTGTGCGTATGAGCTGGGTTAAGTCGAGATTTGATCAGTTTTGACAAATTAACCTGGCGGGTTCATACGGTTTTTGTTGGCCAACTATGGTGAAAGCCCACTTACAAGCGCTTGTAGAATTTTAAATATAAAGTCCAGACTTAAAAGTGTGAGTGTTTGAATGCAGGCCTGTGTGTGTGTGTGCTGAGACGAATTCTTCTAGGACTTAAATGTGTGTGTTTGACTATAGGCTGAGTATATGCGTTGTAAATTGCTTCCTGTTTTATGAAATGTGACAAAAGTTTGT